GCTTGCCACTATAAATCATGTAATGTACTGGGTTACAACCCTAGATAAAGCCGACGAGGAAATGAATTCGATGTAGTAATCGACTAACGAACTCTACATGGTAGCCTAGTTGGTTTATTGTCTAGGGCGCTGGACACAATGTGCAAGCGGTGTTGCCACGATGTCACAGAAGCAGGGGTTAATAACCCCCATCATTATGTTTTTAAATATCAAACAAGGAGATGTGGTATGTTTGCCAATGAGACAACTATCCACCAAAGTTCAAATGAAGTGGATGTTAACAATAATAGACAACTGTACAACGGGTTATCTGATGGATAACGTCTGTCGTAAAGTTGTAAAATTTTTAGACGAATTTAAAGAATACACATAGATTATGGTAATAACTGTTATCTTTTCAAATCTCGAATTATATACTTATATGTGTATAAATACTAGTATATAGTTATTCGGCGCCATTACTGACTGAGGGGTCCTACAGCACTCTGGCTGTCTCAGAAGGTCTTGAGTACGCGTATGGAGTTGTGTATGTTTTCAGTTATGCAATATTCAAGTCACATGAGTATTGCAATTATAAAGTTCTGCCAATAGCATGGAACCTCTTTGTGTCTTATATCTTTGTAGACGCATATGTACATATGGACTTAAATAAAATTACTATAAACAATAAAATAAAAATAGTCTATAGAATTACATATATACATTATGTACAGTGGCTTTGGTGTGGGTCCTTCAAATGTTAGAGTGGATATTGTTGAGAATACCGCGGGAGTTAAGACGTCGCGTTTTACCAATTGTATCTAGGGTTGACGTCAATGCGGGACGTAGCCTTAGCAGCTCGGATATATATGAAGTAAACGTTAAACTGTATGGTTGTGTTCTTTCTGTATAACGATAGTTGAGTTAGCCCCGATATTTATGGTGCCGTAACCAAAGGATTACATCGAAGATGGAGAAGTTAAAGAATATTAGGACTGGAAATAGAAGTGCAGTGACGAGACTTTTCCGAAAATTCGAGGAGGCGAAGGAAAACACGGACTTCGACAGAGATGAACTACTTGCAACATACGAAAATCTTACGCAAAAGAAAAAATTGTTGGAAAAACTGAACGAACAGATATTGGAAGCAACGGATTCAGACAACGTTGAAAGTGAAATAGTAGATACAGATGAGTATTCAAATAATTTAGACATTAAACTTACTAGTAGACATTTTCGTAATTTCATACAAATTGGTCAAAACCGTACACCAAGTTCCAATGTAACACAATCTTCATATCAAGTACTCAATGTAGAAAGCCCTCCTTTCCGCCCGGCAAATGTTGATAACTTTCAAAACGCAACACCATTCTATGCTTCATCCGCCGCTCAACCACAGACAAGCTACAATGGCTCTGATACAGGTCATATTGCTCCACAAAATATAGCTAGTACTAGTAACCATCGTTTACCCAAGTTATCACTACCGAAGTTTAATGGCAACATTTTAGATTGGCAAACGTTTTGGGACTCGTACGAATCTGCTGTACATTTTAATCCTACTTTGACAAACATTGAGAAATTTAATTATCTGAAATCGCAACTTGAAAGCGAGGCATTAAATACGATAACTGGATTTGCGCTTACAAATGGTAATTACATGGAGGCTATAAATGTACTCAAGGAACGGTTCGGACAAACACACAGAATTACGGAAGCCTACTTACAGGCACTTTTAGATATTGCCCAACCACGATACACCTTGTCAAGCTTAAGATTATTTTATGACCGATGTGAAGCCTACGTAAGAGGTTTAGATTCGCTCGGACAACCTGAGACGTCATATGGAACTTTACTGGTACCGATTATCATGAGAAAGTTACCAAGTGAAATCAGACAACACTTAGCAAGAGAACATGGACCGTCCAGTTGGAATTTGAAAGATCTGAGAAGGAGCATATTGAATGAAATTCAAATCATGGAGGCAGGACAAAATACAGGTACATATCTCGAGTCTTTAAACCGTCAGTTCGCAATTGCATCTACTTGTACATTTCATACAGGAACAGAATCACCGCGAGAAAACACATCACACAACGCGAAGAGCCAACCCCAGAATATTACAGAAAGACAATGTGTTTTTTGTAAAGAGATACATGCACCAGCACACTGTACCAATGTTAGTAATCATAAAGCTCGCATGTCTATCGTAAAACGTGATGATTTATGCTTTAATTGTTTAGGTAATCATCATGCTAATGAGTGTCAATCGAAACGAACGTGTCGACACTGCAACCAGAGACATCATTCCAGCCTATGTAGTGCAAGTAGCAATGTTAACAGCGAAGGTTTAGCATTCATTACAAGCAATACCGATAAACAGATTCAATCTATACCCGTCAATCTTATAAATGACACTGAAAACGAGGAAGATACTAAAGTTTTGCATTCATCGACACAGATGCGTACGAATGTGCTATTGAAGACTGCTGTAGCTCCTGTATGGTCAGGTAATATATGTATGGATACGAATGTTTTATTTGATGAGGGTGCACAAAGATCTTTTTTAACTGATGATCTAGCGAAAAAATTGAATTTGAAAACTGAAGGAGTTGAAATTGTACATTTATCGGCATTTGGAAAGGATAACACCAGCACGAGCGAACTACGTAAATCCACCGTACACATTGAAACAGAGAATAGGCGTAAATTTCCTATTGAAGTCCTTATTGTTCCTACTATAGCAGTTCCAATACATAATCATATGCGGTACGTAAACCGAAATATGGATTATCTCAAAGGATTAAGACTCGCTCATCCAGTTACTCAGGACGATTCTTTTGAGATATCGTTACTTATTGGTGCCGACTACTATTGGAACTTTATCGAAGACAAAGTAATAAGATCGCGGTTAAGTCAAAGCTTGGATACTTACTATCAGGACCCTTACAACCAGGAAGGGTACATTCGTCTACGACATCAAGCATCTTGAACGTACTGGTTTCGAATAAATCAGAGGAATTTGGCTTAAAAGAAATGATAAAGGAACAGACACGTCGCGGATTTATCGAGAGAGATGAGGAAGCAGGACCGACAGGGAAAATATTAAAAGATGGACTGAATGATACGTATCTAATGAACTGTTGTGACTTATTATGGACTGTTACGAAAATGTTTGATTTATTGACTTACTTTCAAAAACCTATAATATGATACTATTTCATTGAAAGAAGGAACAGGTGCACGGAAAATATAGACATACTGTGATTTGTGTATACGAGATAGACTCATTGTGATTTAATTCGAAGATAACTAATCTGGAAGTTAATGACTGTGCTAAAGTTATTAAGTTAAAGTCAAGTTTAGATTTGATAGACAGTAATTTTCATTCATTTTTACTTTATTGTAATTTAATTTTAATATTTACTTTTAGCGGCCCGGAGAATGTTGAGAATACCGCGGGAGTTAAGACGTCGCGTTTTACCAATTGTATCTAGGGTTGACGTCAATGCGGGACGTAGCCTTAGCAGCTCTAATATATATGAAGTAAACGTTAAACTGTATGGTTGTGTTCTTTCTGTATAACGATAGTTGAGTTAGCCCCGACAGATATGCCACTTTTGAAGGATTCCAGGGTGTCAGACATACCTATTGCTTCAGGTAGTGAATTCCAGTCAGAGATGGTGTTCGGATAAAAAATATTTATAGAAGTCTTTATTAGTTGAAATTTGACGAAATTTATGTTGCCCCCTAGTACGTCTATCAGATTTTGTTAAATTGTCCTTTGGAACTTCTACTACCCCCAATTAATTTTATATAGCATCGTAAATCTAGCTTTATTTCGTCTATTATATGTAAACTTTCCCATTGCAAAGAATTTATCATGTTGGAAACTGCTCCCGGTGTTCTGTCTTTATAATCGTTAAAGACAAATCAGGCTGCTTTACGCTGAATCTGCTCAAACTGAGTGATGTGGTGCTTTTTGTACGGATCCCAAACAGGGGAAGAGTATTCGACGACTGGACGGACAAGTGATGTGTACGTAAGGTTTTTAACCTTATGTGTGCAGTTTTTAAATTTCTACGAAGAAAACCCAGTAAGGTTTTATTTGCCTTACACATTGTTACAGGTAATATTATGTGTTCCCCAGTCAAGATCATGGCTTATAGTTACACCTAAATATTTACTGTCTTTAACAGATTCTAAAACATGATTATGCAATGTATAATCAAAAGCAGAAGGGTTATTTTTATTAGATATATGTATTACATAACATTTTTCAGGATTAAAATTCATCTGCCAGTCCTGTTCCCATTTCACTAAACTAGATTAATCATTTTAAAGTAATTGTGCATTAGAATTATTATTTACATTTCTATACAATAAGCAGTCATCTGCAAAAAGTCTTGCAATGCAAGTTACATGTTCTGGTAAGTCATTAATAAATAGTAAAAATCATTAATTTTGGACCTGTTCCACAGGGTCCATGATTCCCAATGCATGATATATTGGTTAAGTATATTGCTTGCCCACAAATGATCGTCACTTAACATGTTATAGTCGTGATATGTATGAAATATTTGCCACTGGACGTTAATCATCAATAGTTTGTTTAATATGGTAATCACAACAATTAAAAGTTATTTCTAAAGCAAAACTATACATTGTTTTAGTTGCCCCACAAAATCCCATTTCCTACAGGAATTATTTTCTTTCATATTCACTTGAAGGGTGCTTTCAGCATTATGTCAAAAGTTATTTATTCTGCCTTCTATCAAACATCGTTTTTCAAGTACAGGCAGTCTTGGGAAAAGTTCAAAGGGTATGCAACCAATCAGAAAAGTTAGAATTGTTGATAGACAGAACATCATCAATATTATTAGTTACACAGTGTGCTAGTGACCTAATACGATATATATGGGGTCAGTAAATTCCATATGGGTAAGAGCGAAACTCGCAACCCATATGGAATTTACTGTATAGGAGGTAAGATAAATCTGTATGTGCGTTTCGAGATATAGTTCCAGTTGCGTTTTGAGTTAAACTTTGAGTTTTAATTTGAGTTCTTATTTCCCCCGAGTACTTTCATAAAGGGGATGGAGGATCCCGCTGAAAAAAAGGTAGTAAAATATGAGAAAAGGGTACACAAAAACTATATTTGATAGTATATAGAATGTGTGTAAGGTGTACATGTCTGTTTGACAGGTTTCCTCTTACTTTAACTTCAGTTTAATTGGTAAATGTCACGTTTTCAGGATTGGGGCAGTTTCTTAATAAAGAATGATAGTCAAATATATTTTGTGAACAGAATTATTATAAGGTGTACATGTCTAGTTGACAAGTTACATCTGACCAATGTTAAGTTTTCATGATGAGGAAATTTGCTCACTTCTTAAAAAGCAATAGATCAGTTACATCTATTATTTATTTCTAATCATTGTAAGGTCTACATGTTCGTTGTACTGATAATGTCTATCTGACCCTAACAAAGGATTTGTATAGAAAGACTATACTATACAAGTCCTTGCTCTGACCTAACTTTCATGGAATCACCAATCAATGTTGATTAATGTGATAACCGTAAGCAGATAGGTCAATGCTGGTCTAATACGGTAATAGGGCTGTTTATACATTGAAACATCAATAATGTATAGCTACCATACCATTGGTGGATCCAAGGGGGGGAGGGGGACTCAGCCTTTTTTTCGATTTTTGTTTTTGTTTTGTTTTTTATGCCCCGCCATGAATAAGTGTTACCGTTGTCCTTCCGTACATACGAACTTTCCAAAATTAGTTTCCGTTCTCTAACTTTAGTTTGCCTCAATTAAATGTTAAGACACATTCTCCATTTATTCAATGATGTGTTTGTTTCATGGTGTTCCTGTACTCCTTTTCAAAATGGCTGGATCCACGCCTGCATGCAGTTTTCTCGTGAAACTATTGCATGATGGGAAAAATGTTTATCGTCTATACCATCCAAACTTTAAATTTCGAGTGTTCCCTCACCGCCCATGTTGTTATCATTGTAAGAACAACTTTGAAATTCTGGTGCATCCCAAAGTTAAAAAATAAGGTTGATTTTAATGTCATCTCTCCTATTATAATAGCTGTTTTAAATTTAAATTCTAATTTAGAAATAACAACAAACTAATCACAATAATGAGACATTGATTGTAGGTCAGTAAAACCTCAATCTTCTGGCATTTAGGTACAATATGCATCTAGGGTGAAGGTATACCTACTTTCTTAGTGCTTAAATTGGTTGCTTGTTTCCTCGTTCTGCAGTCTATTATAGTGAGTAATGTAGCTAGGTTGGTTTACCTACCCCAACATCTTCCGTTATTTTATAGTACATAATTCCCCCTACATTTTCGTAGAAGGGACACTTCCGGATAAATTAGTATTTATGGTGCTCACCATTTGATAGATCAATTGGCGTTTCAGTAATTGTTTATCCTATTCTCAGTTGGGCGACTATGTCCTTAATGGTTGGTATTTTCTTGTGTAGTCATTGCCTTATTCTCATTTTTCCAATATTTCTGCCTTTTTAGCTCACCTTTCCAAAGGAAATGTGAGCTTTTGCCATCACTTGGCATCCTTTGTCGTCCGTCGTCGTCGTCAGTCCGTTGTAAACTATTTCAAACATCTTCTCCTCTGAAACTACTGAACCAATTCCAACCAAACTTAAGCTGAATGATCCTTAGGGTATCTAGAATAAAGTTTGTGTTTAACTTTCTGTTTCGTCAAAAAACATGGCCGCCATGGCTAAAAATAAAACAGGGATAAAATGCAGTTTTTGGCTTATATCTCAAAAACTAAAGCATTTAGAGCAAATCTGACATGGGATAAAAATGTTCATTAGTTCAAGTTCTATCAGCCCTGAATTTTTCAGATGAATCTAACAACCCATTGTTGGGTTGCTGCCAGTAAATTGGTAATTTTAAGGAAATTTTGCAGTTTTTGGTTATCTTGAATATTATTATAGATAAAGATAAACTGTAAACAGTAAAAAAGCAAAAAAATTACAGGTGAGTCCTGTTTTAGTTGTAATCTCTGTCGTGTCTTTTTTATTTTTCACTTTATTCGGTCCTGCATTTTTTTAAGTTCGTCCTGACTTTTTTTACATAAATTGTCATCCTGCCTTTTTTTTGTTGCCAAGTTGCTCATCCTGCCTTTTTTTTTACTCAAAACTCCTGTCCTGTTTTTTTTTTCAAATTTCATCCTAGCACCCATAAAAATCAAATGGTAGCTCCCTAAAATGGATTTTTTTGCTTTTGAAGAAAATATGATAGATACAAAGAACATTTAAATGGCATTTTTAAGCCACTCATTAATATATATTGAAAAGCAAAAATAATCATTGATGAAAGATTTAAGAAAAAAATCACAGGTGAGAGATTCAGGCTCTTGAGAGCCTCTTGTTTGCGGTGCTCTTGTATGTCCTATGTTTTTGACATCATGTTAGGTTATAATGTTCCTCTCTAGTGGTATATCTTTTGCACCCAGTGAAGATGTTTTTGTAAGGATGTCGGCCTCATCATTTCTGGGGAAAAACGGCGTGTCACGCCTGTTCTCCATGATTTTAACAAATTGTTTTGCTTTAGATTTTCAGTTTATTTAATTTCTCAATGGATATATATTTTTTGCAAATTTGCAGATCTAACATTGTTAGGCTAAATTTGACTCAAAGTATATATAAATTGAGGTGTTAGCCCGGCGCCGGCAAAATAGTAAATATGCTATTTTGAATATGCTATTTTGCCGGCTCTAGGTAAGTGGAAGCCAGTTTTGCCGTAGAAAACGATTTTGTTTACAGAAATGCATTTCGAAGAACTGACTATTATTTCAAAAGCAAATGATTTAAACACTTCTGATTTTGAAGCTATATAATATGTGATTGATTTTGTTAGATTGGATAATGTTTTATCAAATTTATATGCAGTGAGATTTTTACCTTTTGTTTTTTCACAACATACAATTTAAAATTAGGCTGTAGCATGTAGCATTAGACTGAATGATTTTTGAAGTAATTTCAACTTTATGTGTTTTGATATGATTTCATTGCTACGAATGGATGCTCGATATTTTTATTTTTATTACTTTTTACAAATTCTTAGTTTCACTTGGACTCATACAGGTTTTCAGTCTTCTTGGTTTACCACAGTCCCAGCAGCCCAGGTTTGTAAAATTGCTTTCGGGCCTGTAAAAATCATCTCTACAGGCCAACAGAATATAACTAAAATTTCCAAAAATTTAGCTCCAGGCCTGTAGATTTAAGAGTTTATCGTGAAGACAGTTTTTAAACAAATATATTGTTATCTTATTTAACTATATAATTAATAATTTTATTCTTTTATATTGGCAATGCACATTTTCGTAGTACTTTTCAAGAGTAAATATTAAAATTCACTCACACCAAGGATTCAGTGTATAGTAAGACTATACAAATCCTTGCTCACACAAAGAGCCGGCAAAATAACAAATTCATTATATTGCCGGCGCCGGCAAAATAGCCATTGCTATAGAAATATGCTATTTTGCCGGCTTTAATTCAGATATTTTAATCAGTGCCAGCAAAATAGCATATTTTCTATTTTGCCGGCGCCGGCAAAATAGCCACTGCGTATATAATAAAATTAAAATATGATGACCCATTATCATCCTTTACGACAGACAAAGCATAGCTGATCTGAAAGATACACTATTTACTTGCCACTCAATCTAATTAAAATATAGATCTCGGATTTCGTTATACTACGTGTAGTATAACGAAATCCGAGATCTGTAGTATAACGTAGTATAACGAAATCCGAGATCTATATTTTAATTAGATTGCTTGCCACTATAAATCATGTAATGTACTGGGTTACAACCCTAGATAAAGCCGACGAGGAAATGAATTCGATGTAGTAATCGACTAACGAACTCTACATGGTAGCCTAGTTGGTTTATTGTCTAGGGCGCTGGACACAATGTGCTAGCGGTGTTGCCACGATGTCACAGAAGCAGGGGTTAATAACCCCCATCATTATGTTTTTAAATATCAAATAAGGAGATGTGGTATGTTTGCCAATGAGACAACTATCCACCAAAGTTCAAATGAAGTGGATGTTAACAATAATAGACAACTGTACAACGGGTTATCTGATGGATAACGTCTGTTGTAAAGTTGTAAAATTTTTAGACGAATTTAAAGAATACACATAGATTATGGTAATAACTGTTATCTTTTCAAATCTCGAATTATATACTTATATGTGTATAAATACTAGTATATAGTTATTCGGCGCCATTACTGACTGAGGGGTCCTACAGCACTCTGGCTGTCTCAGAAGGTCTTGAGTACGCGTATGGAGTTGTGTATGTTTTCAGTTATGCAATATTCAAGTCACATGAGTATTGCAATTATAAAGTTCTGCCAATAGCATGGAACCTCTTTGTGTCTTATATCTTTGTAGACGCATATGTACATATGGACTTAAATAAAATTACTATAAACAATAAAATAAAAATAGTCTATAGAATTACATATATACATTATGTACAGTGGCTTTGGTGTGGGTCCTTCAAATGTTAGAGTGGATATTGTTGAGAATACCGCGGGAGTTAAGACGTCGCGTTTTACCAATTGTATCTAGGGTTGACGTCAATGCGGGACGTAGCCTTAACAGCTCGGATATATATGAAGTAAACGTTAAACTGTATGGTTGTGTTCTTTCTGTATAACGATAGTTGAGTTAGCCCCGATATTTATGGTGCCGTAACCAAAGGATTACATCGAAGATGGAGAAGTTAAAGAATATTAGGACTGGAAATAGAAGTGCAGTGACGAGACTTTTCCGAAAATTCGAGGAGGCGAAGGAAAACACGGACTTCGACAGAGATGAACTACTTGCAACATACGAAAATCTTACGCAAAAGAAAAAATTGTTGGAAAAACTGAACGAACAGATATTGGAAGCAACGGATTCAGACAACGTTGAAAGTGAAATAGTAGATACAGATGAGTATTCAAATAATTTAGACACTAAACTTAGA